GCTCAAAATGTCACTAACACTGGCACATAGTATTGTCACATAAATTAATGTAGCATTAAATAAAATCATTTTAAAAAGTAAGGAAGTCTTTGTATATTCCTGTAGGGTCATGACCTGCATTTCACTTGCTCAAAGTTTAAAGGCACAACATTGCTCACTCTGGATTAGGTACAATGTCTTCCTAACAGCCCTCTTTGTTTTGAAAAGGTGAGAAAAAGGTCTCCTGCATGTCATTATCCTGTATGCAGATCTAAAACATATTTGTAATACATCTTCTAAAGCATATTTGATGTGTTTAGAAGCAGTGTAGCCCATTGAAAGAAAACTGCATGTTAATCTTGATTTCTGATTCAGTTCAATCCAGTTTTGGAAGGCACATTAATTGTGTCTCGAGGGGTGGAGGTTTCCCCACAAATGATCAGTAGCCACATCGTCTTGAAGTCTGAATTGTCACAGAAAAGAGGATCAAAAAGCTTGGCCTGCCCTGCACTTCGAGTAGAACAGGAAAATGTGGTTGTGCTGGTGATGCGGGAGCCACAACAACATTCAAACAATGCTCAAACCCCAAATATGACAAAATACCAGTAATTATAAATACTTTTATCTGTAAGTATAAAGATTGCATGCCATTACCAAGAATGGTACAGATACCTAGTGCCATGGCAATTTAGATTGCTATGATGTACCAAATATATTGCTGCTCTGGAATCATCCATACTCTAAGAGGTTAAAAGCATTACTTTTTTCCTCTCAACAGGAACTGAGAAGACAATAAGGGGACATGATTTGAGCACCTATCTCTTCAATTCACAGTGAATATATTAGGTTAGTATAACAATAATGTCAATTTTTATTCATGCATAATGTGAATTTACATTTGCATTTCAATTATGAATATCAGTGATTAAAAACATTTCTTTTTTTGTGAAAACAGAGAGTCCAAATATTCATTAACTTTCCAAGTTTCAAAAACACGATTACAGAACGGAAAAGCCACTGTCTAAACAACAGCATAGTTAAGAGGTATCACACCATAGTCGACAGAACGACAAAAACATTGTTAGATCATCGCCTCCAAAACCCTTCAAATACCTGTCAACAGAGAAGTACGTCTATATGACACTGGAAATCTCAGACGTTCCTTCCAATACCACAGCGTGGGGCTCCTCAACTGCAAATCCTTTCCTATAACCACACAACATTGACTTTGAAATCAATTTTGGTTTGTTGCTGTATGTTACTATGATGGCAGGATACATTTTTTAAAAATAATAAAGTAATTCCCCCACTGGTTATGTTCTGCAGTCTAAATACCAGTAAGCTATGTTTTTAAAGTCAAAATAACCTCTTGGGTCTGCTTCATATTTTCTGAAAGAAAATGTTCAGCAGCAACATGTGATGTTTAACACTTGTTCAGTCTGGTTCATTCTTCAAGCCACTATTAATAAGTAGTGTTTATAAAGTGTAATTTTCTATACATCCGGTTGTGTCATAACATTAATTGGTGCATTTTTTTATATTATAACAGTGTAAAAAAAAACACCAGTGTATCATTTCATCATTTAAAAAAAAAAACATACATTTAGTACTGTCTCCTGATAAACTAGAAAAGCATCCATCCATTTTTTTAACTGCATTATCCAATATAGGGTTGCCAGGGAGCTGGAGACTATCCTGGCAAGCAAAAGATGCAAAGTAGAATACGTCCTGGATGGGACAACAGCCTATCAAAGGGCACACACACATATACTCAGACTTAAACCAATTTTTCCAAAGGCCAATTAACCTACAGTTCCAGTATATCTTTGGACTCCATGCATGTAGCTCATCAGGAAATGAACTCAGAGAGGCAGCAACGAGTGCCATTACGTCACTGTGTCACCTAATAAGTAAATCATCATGGTAAAGCAAGAAACTAAAATGGAAGAATGAGATAACATGGCAGGTTTCCTTATACCACATGTAAAGAACATTTATCTTAAAATATCATGGTAAACCTGAACTATAAGTAATATAGCAAAATTGTGTAACCATGAAACTCAAATTTTATCCTGTCAAAATATAGGTTCAATTGTATCCCTATGTTCAATGCAGTGCATTTAGGGGAAATGGTATAAAAAATTGACAGATAACAGGACAGAAAATAGGACTAAAAGTAACTCAGAAAAAGACAAAAGTTATGGTCACTCAGGTAGTGTCTGAGACCAAGATTTGTCTATACCAAGAAATAACAGAAAACAAAGAGGAATTCACTTACCAGGGTGACAGCAGATAACACAAAGAAGGATAGCAAAGTAAGAATTGCAGAACCAGAAAATATGCAACAAATCTGGGCAAACATGAATTATGAAGATGCGATGTGACCTATGACAATGACCATGACCTAAAAATTGGATGGCTTTTTGACCTTAAGATAGGTCTACCTATCCACTAAATCAAATAGACACATAATATCACCACTGAGGAGATTCAAATGAGAGTTAGTCAGCCCTCAAGATATTGCAGAAAAAGAGACTATCAACAGTTTGGGCACGT